GTCATTAGTTTATGGACTGAATTCGGTGGCCTTCTGCTCCCAGGCATATGGCCATGAGAATGGGCCCTTTACTTGGGTTCTATAGAGAGTGCCCTCCTCACCCCTTCATTTTGTGGATGTACCAAGGACTTTGAGCCTCCAGGGCTGCCTAGCCAGCAGCTTTCAGCAACCCAAAGCACGTGCTCAGTGAAGGAACTGGGCATGGCAAATCTCCAGCAAAGTGGAATCCTGGGTTCTCTTCCCCTCATCTGTGTCCTCCTGTCCTAAATCTATTGTAGCTCAGTGCAGCTATTTAGGGAAAGTTCCGGAGGAAAAAGTGATCCCAAAGTCCGAGTGTCCTTGTGTGGCCACTCGCTGAACTCTCCTCAAATGGTGCAAGAGAAATAAGCCCGATGAGCCCAGAGCAGGAGGGGAAAGTGCTTAGTCAACTAAGGGCAAGGTGCCCAGTGAAGGAGGAGGAAGTGGGTGGTTAGAAATATCAGCTAAATGGATGAGCAATCAGGGCAGGACACAAGGATTGCATGCTGCATGATAGGATGTCTCCCATGTGTCTGACGAGCTCTTGTACCTCAGAGATTAAATGGCTTTTAGATGCTGCCTCCATTGGGTGAGGGGGGGCGTAGGAGCAAGGGGTGCACAGCAGAGGCTGCTCCCAAGGTATTAGACCTGAAGCAGACACCGTGCCCCCAAGAGCCCTGAGGAAGTCCATGCCTGAGCAGCCCCCACTGTGCCCTCTCCAGGGGCACATGATGCAGTCACACCCCTCAATGGTGGCCCAGCTCAGCTAGCCAGCATGAAGGTGAGTGGGATCATGACCCTGCTCTTTTCCCACTCCTCTCCTTAGGAGGAGTCTAGCACCATTGTCTGCAGTCCACTCCCCCAGTCTTCGCATCTTCCTGTTCATGTATAGACCATCTAGGCCTAAGCCTTGTAGACTCTGTGACTAGCTGATAGGTGCTAGGAAACAGCCATATGCAGCCGCTTAAGGTTCTTTTCTCCCTCAGAGCAAAGGCTAGGTTACTGGTTACTGGCATGTATTTGAGCATGTGAAGACCAGTAAATCAAATCTAAAGAATAAAGCAAAAGCTGGTATTATTTGTGCCCTGTGTCTCCTTGTTATAACCTCCTTGCCTTGAAATGTGCTGTTTCCCTGCTCTCCAGAACGACGGGTCGGAAGGGAAAACGCCCCCTGTTGTTGTTTAGTGACATGGAACTGGGCTCTTTTCATTGCTCTTTAACTTCAGTTCGGGGTAGTGATGAACCTGCTAACCTGGGTACAAGCTAAAGCCTGGCTTCAAAATGGAGCCTCCTTGGAGATCCAGGCCAAGATTCCTGGGTCAATGGTTCCCCTGCACTCAGTGTGATTGCATGGGCGTGACCGTGACTGAGAGCAGAAGTAAAGAAGGGCAGTGGCATTGGCAGACGCCTCTGTTCACACCCAATTCCAAAGGTCAGCCACTATTTCAGATTCTGTTTGGAAGTTGGAGAAAGTGTACTATAGAGCCGGGGACAGGTGTGATCTATGCCAGTTAGTCCCTCCTTAGTAAGGGAAGGAATTCACCCTTCTGCAGAGGGCCAGCATGAGAACTATGCACTCTCCAGCTCTGTTTTGAATGAGACTTCATTGTTGCATAGACCTGAGGCTGGCTTTCTGCATGGGAGCGACTTTCATCCAGACAGCCTAGATTTCCTAGCTGCTGTATTGCTGCTGCATGCAAGTCCCAATCCACATGGCTCATGCTGCTGGACTAGTGGGTAGCACTCTGGATTGGGACTCCGGAGACCTGGATTCTATTCTTAGTTTTGCCACGGACTTGCTGGGTAACCTTGGGCAAGTCACTTATGCTCTCTGTGCCTCAGCTTTCCCATCATAAAATGGGGATAATGATGCTGACCTCCTTCCTAAAGTGCTTTGAAATCTCTGAAGAGCTCTATAGAAGAGCTAGGTGTTATTATTTCTTCTTGTTTGTTTATTTAACTGACGGGGAAAAAAGAATATACATAGAGCTATGCAGCCACGAAAAGAAAGAAGTGATTCAGAGATGGATATTTAACTGTCTGCTGAGACCCAAAATGGAGACCAGACCCCTAAATGAAGGACATAATAGCCTTAAAATGCTGGGAGATTCATTTCTTGGACATAAGTAGCATTTTCTCATAACCTTGAGTGGCGCGATCCAGCATTTTGGAGGCAAATAAGCTGACAGCAGTCAAGATAAGGGACAGCAGGTTCATGGCCCGGCTGTCACCTTTCATGCAAGAGAGGCATGGGGCCGCATGTGTCGTCAGAGACCGGCAAACCCCCTGCAGCACTAGAGCCTGTTCACACAGGACCAGCCCATTTTCTAGTTGCTGCGGTGAACTACTCCTTGCATTTATGATAATGAGAGATACGGACTGTTACGCAAATGAGAGTGGCTGGCTAGGACTGTTAAAGGGTTTGTCTACCTTGCCTCAGGAAAGTTAAGATTAATCAATTTAAGGTGTGAAATTAATGTATATAAATTCAAGTGCATTAAATCCCCACCTGGACACGCTCACTCAGGAGCAAAGTGGGCTTTAGTTTGCTGTGACTTCTGAAGTAGGCAGCAGAAAACTTTTTTGCACTACCCAGCTCTTTGATAGCCTTGTGACTGTCTCCACAGAGCAGGAATCTTCACAGGGACCTTTTCCTAGAATAAGCAACTCAGTCACCACAAAGAACCTCACTCTGGCGGTTGCCTAGTTTGTTGTTACTTCTGTCTTTGAAAAGACTTTGGTTTTATGATCACTGTGGGAAACCACCGTGTCTTACTGTGTGTGAATGGGAAGTGATTGCTATCCCTTCTATCGATGGATGGGATAAACGTCCGACTCCAATGGTTTCTGGAATCTGATCACTTACTTCAAGATGAGATTAAAAGAGAGCGAAAAAGCCTGATTCTGATCTCTCATAAACCAGTGTAAATCAGAGAAACTCCTGTTTTCCTGTGGGGAAAAGGGCACTGTTTGGAGCATGGACTGGGCAAAAGATTAGCGGTGGCAGCCTGAGAATGGGAGAGGAACAGTAACTTACAAGCTCTGTGCTTCTAGATTGTTCATTTCTTGTGCCTCTATTTGTGTGTCTCTCATCTATTTAAGCTCTTCAAGGTAGGGCCAAACTTTATTTTTGTGTTTGTACAGCACCCAGCACAATGGGGCCATGATCCCTCATTGGGGTTCCTACGTGCTACTGGAATGCAGTTTAAGGCCTATATGTTTTTACAAATCTAATGTTAGGACATTAAGGTTGGGAAGTCACGCGTTCAAAAGTTAGGAAATGCCAGAATTAAGGTTGCCTGTGCACCCTTAATTCAGCTCCCTTGTGTATATGCATCATAATGCACCCTTTCATTACATGATCACATGCTACCTTTTCAGAAATTCCATCATGTGGAACATTACTGACCCCCACTTTTAGTTGTCAGCAAGGTTTGGACCATTAGATCCACGTTGCAGACATCTACCACTTGAACTAACAGAGTAAATGGTAGCAGTAGTAGGTTGTCATCCTTTACGAGGGCTATCTTTGTCTCACTGACTGCAAGGAGGCTACAGTAAGGCAAAACAGGATCTTTACTCTGGAGTTTTGTTCTGGTCTGAGATTTAAACCTTCTCCCGTTTCTAGCTATAGCTCCCTGCCTTCTGTTTGGAATGTTGTTCATGCGAGTTTAGGCCCTGATCCTGCAGTCAGATCCTCCAGGAAATCAACGAGGCTCTGCATGGGCTCGAACGTCTGCCCATCTGGAATCGATTGAAAAACTGAGTGTAACTGAGTGCCAGATTAGAGGCTTACACTGTAACCAATTCAGGGCATGAGTCCATGGGAGATTCAAAAGCAACATGCAGGCTTGTGGGTTATACGTTCTGGTAAGTGGGGGTGAACGTAAGAAAGGGACTCTAGAGAAAATCTATATTGGTGTAAGATGCACACTGCAGGGGCTAGAATATATCAAATTTGTATCAGCACAGACCTCTGAATTTGGCGCCTTGTCTACAGTAAGGGTTCGCGTGTTCAGTACCTCATAGTAATTTTGCCAATTTACAACTGCACATTTAGAAATAATTTTTTTTCTTGGTTTCTCTGCTGGATTTGTCTTTAACTGCAGCTTCTCCATAGTATTCAATTCAGAATTAACGGGGGAACCAATTTCTGGCTGCAGGAAAGAAAAGAAACTTGCAGGACGGACCCTGACTTGAGAACAAGGGGAAATTTTCCCAGTCATTGTAAATCATCATGACACCAGCATGAAACCAGATGACAGGGTGAGTGGGGGTGTTCGGAGGAGATAGTAATTAGGAACGAACTGTTCCACGAAGCTGCTTTATTCTCTTTCCCTTCCAACCTCCCCCCGTCCCAATTTGGCTGCATGAGCAACTTGGGATCCCAGCTGGGGAGCAGCTGTGGGCTTGCACTGGCCCTTTAAAGGCGGAGGTGCACTGTCTCTTTAAGCCAGGTCTCTTGTGGGTTGTGTTTAGTGAAGGAAGTGACGGGCGGGGGGAGATTGAATGAAAAGAGAAAAACAGAATCAAAGAGTCCCAAGTAAGGGACAGAGGGAGCTGGGGCAGGGCTGCGGGGGGAGAGGGAAAAGACAGGCTGGACATGGTGGGGTAGCAGGGCACGAGGAGGAGACGTGGTTGCCAAGGATCTGGGCACCAGCCCCCGGCACCCCGTGTGGGCACCAGCCAGCCACTCCACCGGTGCACTGGGACGTGTAAAGTGCAAGCCGCAGCCCATGTGCTGTCCAGAGTCCAGGGAGAGAGGCGGAGAGGGGTAAGAGGAGAGGGCTCCAGGGGGTGGAGAAGGCGGAGGGTGGGAGCTCCCAGACCCGGGGGCTCTCTTCGCTCTGCCAAACTTTCAGCCAAAGTTTGGAAACTTCTTGGGGAGGGTTGTCGCGGGAGCCGTTGGGGGCGAGCTCGGGGTGAGGGGGTGCCTGGCTGGGGGAGCCCAGGCAGAGAGAGGGGGTGTCTGTGGAGGGGAGTCTAGGGGCTGCAGAGGGGGCGAAGCGGGGGGCTGGCTCCCGCTGCCGGCCGGGGATGCGCGCTCGGGGCTGCGGGCTCTCGGCGCTGCTGCTGCTGCTGCTCCCGCTGGCTCCGGGGCCGCTGCCCGGCCGGGCTGGCCCCGGGGCGTTGTCCGAGCTGCGGGTCCGGGTGCGGCTGCCCGATGGGCAGGTGACGGAGGAGAGCCTGCAGGCGGACAGCGACGCCGACTGCATCAGCCTGGAGCTGCGCAAAGGGGATGGGACCCTCGTCACCCTCACCGCCGACTTCCGACAGGTACGGGGGGCAGCACCCAGCATGGGGGGCTCGGACCCCCACAGAGGGTGGCAGGACCCGGAATGAGGGGCGGGGGGCTCGGACCCCCATAGAGGGGGGCAGGACCTGGGATGGGGGGCAGCACCCAGCATGGGGGGGGAGGGGGCTCGGACCCCCACAGAGGGTGGGGACCCAGGATGGGGGGGCTTGGATCCCACAAAGGGGGCAGGACCCGGGATGGGGGGGCTCAGTCTCTCCCTGCTCCCAGAAAATAATGGATCTGGTCTGGGAGGCTGGAATGGGTCCTAAACTCCCCAGGGTCCAGGGTGTGTCCCAATGGGGCGGGATTTGGTGACCTCTGAGCTTTACCCCCACCGGGAATCCTCCTGGGCTGGGGAATCTGAGCTGAGCCCCACATGGGCTGGGGCACCTTTGGAGCCCTCAGTAGCTGTAGCAGAGGGATGGGAGTGTGTGCGCGGGGTGGGTGCATGGACCTTTTCTCCTCCGTGTGGCTGAGGAGCTGGCCCTGCCCCCATTACCAAACCAGGGAGAGAGGAGCAGATTTTTGTTCCCTTCCCGGGGCTTGGGGAGAATGCCCCCTGCTGAGGCTGCGTTCCCTCCTTTCCACTAGCCCAGCAGGGAATGGAGATGGGTAAGGGTCTCACTGCTGTCCTCTTCCCTTCTGGTACCACCACATCTCCATTACCTCTTGGGTATCTGACCCATGGACTTGACCCTTCCTCCTTCCCCAGCACCATGGAGTAAGGGATGGAGGCCAGATCTCCTGCAGGGGACACTGCCCCCATCCCATCAGCCTGGGAGAACATGCTGCTAATGGTCCTCCCCCTTTCCCTCTTCCCCCAGCCCTGTGGAGAGGAGCTATGGGATAATCCAGAGTGTATTTTGTTTATCTGGCCTCCCCGCTGGGATGGAGCAGATCAAAGGGCTACAGCCTGGGAACACTGGACATGACTTCTCATGGGAGACCAGTGGAATGAGCTGAGCGGTTCTGTGTTTATAGAGACTCTCAGGCAGGAGTGGCAAGTCAGGAGTCTGCTTTACATGGGGGAGGTGGAGTGGAGTAGTGTTTGTACAAGTTCTGTGCCAGGGTAGGTCCCAGTGTGGTTCTCATTTATAAATTTAAATGCTCTTTTAAAGGCAGATGAATGTCATTCCCCCACTTTATAGCTGGGGGAAACTGAGGCGCGGAGCAGAGAAGGAACTTGACTCTGAGGCAGGACAGCAGCAGGGCCAGGGATGGAAGCTAGGCCAATGCCCTATCTTTCCCTGAATCTGTCCTATTGATAGCTCAGCGTGGCAGGTGTGTTTATCTGTGGTTGGGAGTGATGGGATCTCCCCTGCCTTTAGGAGCTTGGGGTATTTCAATCAGTGAGATGGGATCCCTTCTATCTTTTGGAGGAGAGGGGTGGTTCTGTCTCAGTAGGATACAGCCTTCCTTATATTTTGTGGGGTAGCCTTTATAGATTGGATCGTCTCTGGGTAGAACAGCACTTTGTGGTGTTTCCATCCTTCTGTGGAATTGGATGAGCAATTTCTGTCTCCACGTGGGGTGGATCATTGGGGTGTGTTGGAGGACTGGCCAGTGAGTTGGGGGCAGAGGAGTACTCTCCGGGATTGCAGCTGCAGTGAGGGTGAGGGGACAAACTCTGATGTTGGTTGAAGGAAAGGGTGACTTTCCCCTTCTCCCTCCCCCCCATCTTGGTACAAGAGGGCGTCTATGCAGGGGAGCTGCCATTCTCTCTGAGATGAAGCGTGAGAGCCCATAGCACATTGCAGCAGAAGAGATTGTCTGTGCTAGATGGACTTCTCTGGAGTCTGTGCAGAGCATGAGCGGATGCCATGGATTTTCCATTCCACTAAATGGTGCACCGGAAACGGCATTCTCTTTACTGCTTTGTGTAGTGATCAGTTGGGGTGGTTAGTGTTGTTTTGTCCCAGCCCTTATTTCAGGACTGTTTACTCTGGTTTCAAGTGAAAGGAAACTAATATCTAAACTGTAATGGGTATCCTGCCCAGACCTGCTGAGAGCCTTGGAGTCTTGCAGCTATCTATATGGGCAGTCATCACCCCCTAAACCTCCATGCTCAGCGATGTATAAGAGTTTCTCACACACACACCCATCCCCAATACAACATTTGCTCACAAGTCCCTTCTTAGTCTCTTTTCCAGCCTATCAAATGGCCTCAGTTCGAGAGTTGGAGGGTCTCAGCCCAGTTCCTTGGAGCACATGTCCGTATCTCAACCCACCTCCTTCCTCAGTTGTCACAAGTTAAACCTTCTTCTCTGCAAGAACTAAATGGACCAGGGAATCTGAAATCACATCCTATTCTAACAACGGTCTCTCCATGTCAGGGATAAGGCAAATGGGCAGGTGATGGTAGTAGGAGGGAAGTTTGCTGTCCAGGCTACGGGGAAAGATCTTCACTCAGCCAGGCTGCCAAGCCAGCACCTTTCTTCAGCACTAATAAGTTACACTTAAGTATCAGTGATGTGCTGGGTGCTGTACAACACAGAGAAGTAAACAGCCCCTGCCCCAAGGAACTTATACTGTAAAAGACACACAGAAGATGGGATGCCCTGGGAAGCTCAGAGAAGGGAGTTAAAATCCATAATCAGTCCAAATTGTGTATCACTGCACTTTTTTTTGCCAAGGAAAATCCATGCACTTTCCAGATCCGCTAGACAGACTACGGGGGCCGTGGATACCCCCATGAGAGCTCTGGATGCCACGTGGTGAAGTGCTGATGCTGCTGTTCATTCCGGCATCCCTCCCCACCCCTTCATCTCTCCTGAAGATTTGCACGTGAGACTTGTCTGCAAATCTGAAACCTGCAAGAAAACCTCTCCCCATACTCAAAGCACTCGGGACAGTTCTTAATTGACATCAGCTCAGAGCTGGAATGTAATTTTTTTTTTAAAATGGCTTCGCTGGAACGTGGTTAAAGGGGAAAAAGCCAGCCAGATGTAACAACCTGAGAAATAGAATTTACAATGCCGTGAGTAACCATGAGAGCTGCCTGCCTGCTGGGGATCCCATCCAGACCTGTTTTCCTGGCCTCTCACAGCCATTACCACATTTAACTCTGTTCTGCTCTGGTGCCCTGCTCCATGGTGTTTCACAACTTCCCCTTGCCGGCGAGAAGCCCTTGCGTTGTTCTCCTCTGGAAATGCAGATAGGGTTGTTGATCTGCGTTTCTCAGTCTAGTTTTGTGGTTACAATGCGGCCAAAATGCTGTCTTTTCACACAAATGATGTTTCCAGTTCCCTGCCTTGTGCGGGGGAAGAATCCGGCTTCCCTTCTCCCCACCCATCTGTTGATGGAAAATGGTAGGTTGTGAAATCTAGGGGAAGGATGGCCACTGGTTAGGGTGCCAACCTGGGATTTGGGGGACCTGGTTCTGCCATTGACTCTGTGTTCCAGTTCCCCATCTGTAAAATAGGGATACTTCCTTGCAATCTTGATCAGGCACACAGATACCGTGCTAATGGGAAGCCATATAAGTACCTAAGCACCATTTCTAGAATAATCTCCTTAGGGATACAATATGAGCTTGATCCCTTGGGACTTTCAAAACGAGACTGGACCTGTGCATTGTACTGGCGGGAACAAGCCTGTACTGTCCCCGGGGAAGTTATTGCACAATCTAATCTGTTGGTATCTGCTGTGATATGACTATCAACATGAAAACCATTTGTTCAACCAGCTCTTTCCCTGTGTTAATTGCGTGATGTTCACCCTGATGCAGAGGGGTTCGAGGCTTATGCAGTACTTAACTGCACTTATGCCCTGTCTTGAGGTCGGACATGGGACTTTAGTGGTGCTTGCCCGCCGCTTCTGCATGTGAGGATTGAAACTGAAAGTATTTTATAAATCCAGTTGACCTTTCGCCACTTCAGTTTACTTCTTGCTCTTCATTTATCCTGCCAATGAAACCCATGATCCGATTCCCACCCACTGCAACTCTTGGCCACAGCAGCACCCAGGGAAACACCCCCAGTGCTATCTTGCTGCCCACTCCTATTGAGAGGCATGTCAGGGATTGGAAGGATAGTAGCTGCACCACTCTGTGCTCCAGCAATTCTGTGCTGTGGAGCAGTCTGTAGGCAGCAGTGAGTTAGAGAAGCCCTGGGGCTGCTCGGGGATTTACTGCCCATTGGAGCAGCACAGAATCTGGGCGATAAATACATGGCATTAAAGCAGACTTTCTGAGTGTGGTTCATTTCATGTTCTGGTTCTCCAAGGCGGCGGGCTCTGGTTGGTAAGGCATTAGACTGCATCTCCGGACGTGTGGATTCTGATCCCGGCTCTGCCACTGAGCTGCTGGGTGACCTTGAGCAAGTCACTTCACCTCTCTGTTTCTCTTTCTGTAAAATGAGGACAATAATGCGTTCCCCAGCTTTATCAACTGCTTTGAGAGCGATGGGTGAAAAGTGCTGTAAACCCTAAGTGTGTATTGGTATTTATTACCAGGCACTGGTGCCTGAGATGTCTGGGTTTTTAGCACTGCAGGGGAATTGCTTAAGTAACAATAAACACCTCACTTCATTGCATTTTTGAAGGAATGAAGCATTTCTGTTTCTATTTTATGGCTGGTTGTTATTTAAAAAAATAACAACAACCTGGCAGCATCTCTGCAGAAGTGGTTGGGTTTTCACACTGCAGTCTGGGAATGAGGTGGGTGGCTTATGTTGGAGTCAGCACAAGGATGCAGGTAATTCTTTGTCCTTATAATTACTCGCAAATTAGTGCATGGAGCTGCATGTGAAGAGGGCAGACGATTTTAACCCTTGCGATGCCAGGAACTTCAGGTTGCCAACAGGCTGCTGGTATTGTATTCAAGGCGAGTAATTATTTGGAAAAAATAAGAAGATTCACACAAGAACCAAGACAAAAATTATGCAGTGTCAGATTGGTACCTATATTTATATGCTTCTGACACTTGGCAAATGCTAGGAGCCTACAACAGGAAATTTAACGCATTCCATCAGCGATGCTTGCA